GGGGGTCCTGAACTAAACCCCCTCAATTACTCGGTTCGGGCGGAGCTCAACAGGGTGGTCTACAGTGGCGGAGAAATCAACGATCTCGCTCAACTCCGGTACCCACTCACTTTCGCGCGGCCGAATCTCTCGATGGCGCTCCTCCAGAAGGCTGTGGCGGAGTATCATTATAGTATTTAATGTGCTCTTTAATATGGTAGTAAATGTCCGATAAAAATTTAATAAAGTGTAACTTATAGCGCCTTGAAAGTCATGGAGGCAAAATGACTTTTTTTGCCCCCCCTGTACATTGAGTAGTTCGTCAGTGATGCCACTAAAGATGTCATAGCTCAAGAACCTGTTTCCTGATATCCAGTAGAACTATCGTGTCACTTTTCAGTTTCCAGTGGACACCAGCTGTTTGGAACTTAAGGGCGGTTCCGATACTCTACGGTCTCAGTATGGCTGGCGCTTCGAACATTATTCTTACGTGAGTTCGTATCCCTTTCGTTTTCTATTCGCACACCAAGCTAGGAAAATTTCAAAAACATGTATAAAATGAATGGTCTCCGAAGTAGGCACCCTCAAAAGAAGTTTCAATGCTGTTTGAAAAGGTACTTACTATAACGTATAGTTCTGATGCAAAACGGCTGCCATTTACTATATCCTGGGGGCCCTCAAAGGCACAGAGCTTGATGCCCTCCGAGGATGAATGCTCATTTAAATTTTTTCAAAGACAAAGATCATGTTGATCGTAAGGACGGGGTCAGTCAATCGCTGGGTTGGTTTCCCAATTGCGACTTTTCTTTTGGGAACGCAAAGGGGAGGGGCGCATCAATTTGGAAGGTACACTATTGACTATCTCCGCCCATGCGATCAGCTTGAAGGGTGCTCTTGAAACCGAAAACAGGATGTAGAACCTTTCGAAAGTGACTGAAAACGCTCAGATAAGTTGGAGGAAAACTGAACTTTGATGGAAATATGGTGAACTCTCACACCTCTAACCTTCTTCAATCGCAGTCTTACGCAGTACTTTTTCTCCTTTTGAGCTTTTTTCTTACTGTATCACGTACACGCTTACATGCAGCTAACATCCACTCGCTAAAAGGCCCGTACTCGTTGCTTTCTAGTTCATTGATGATTTTTTCGTTATCGACTTTGACGCTGCCCGGCTCGGGAAGGGCATTCGTTGGTTCCCCTTAAATAATTCATCTTAACCGAGGGGTCTCATTTAGGTGAAACCTACAAACTCTTGTGAAGCTGCAGAATGGTAGAAGTGAGAAACCCCGGTTGTAAGAGTTTACACTTGTTCACAAGGTGGCCAGTAGTGGCTTTGCTGCGTACCATTCGTTGCCCCCCCAAGCTGAACTGCCCTTCCACTCTTTCATCTTATTTCTATTTGGAACTGCACTACGTTTCAGGCAAGGTCGTTATGACCCATGGTCAGGCGGTGGCTTCAAGGCGGATTCCCCGAGCGTGAGTCAAGATCGCGGAATCTACGTGATGGAAATAGACGGCTCTGCTCATCATCTTGATTTGCGCACGCCGAACACCTGTGATCCGAACACAGTGGCAAACGCTCGATTCCAGGTGAGCCCTTGACAACCCTAGCTTTGAAAAACCTAAGCGGTCCCTAGCCCGCCTGAGAGATCGAAGTTTTCATTCCAAATGATTAGTCTGCAAAATTCATTTTGAGTAGAGATTCTTGAAGTGAGCCTAGATCAAACCTAAATCCCAGTTATGGCCACCCGGTAGTAACGGCTCCGCTAACCGCTGCTTGCTTACGTCCCCCAGAAGCCGATTGCTACTGACAATATTATATACTTCTTTATCGCCTTTTGTATGCTAAATGATTTTATATTGTTACTTGCCAAACATTTTCTGCCAAAAGTCTAAACAGCCTCATTGTGCCTTTTCAAAACTGCTCTTATTACCCGACACTAATCCTACAGCTAAACACCTTGCCCTTTCAGTCTTCAGCAAACTCCATGAATAGCTATGTAAATAATTTTTTCTTCCCCTAGCCAGATCCTTTCGTAAATCCTCAAGCCGCCTTGGGGAGCTGACCATTTCTCTGAGGCCTTATTGAGCAATGAGGCAGGAGTTAAGGATCATTCTGTGAAAAGAAAAGAGGCTGAGTGGCATGGGAGCTGTGAAATAGCATAATGAGGCGTAGCGCAGAGCATCAGAACCCTCTCATGGAAATAAGGGGCTTCACTCATACGGTTTTCAAAATCACGGCAAGAAAGCGAGGGTAACATGGTGGAAAATTGATTAATTCTGACGTGGACGTTCTGAAGGTTCCCATGAATTTAGCTAACAACGGGTCTCATGCAACAGAAATCGAAATGAACTGTGGTGTTCCCAGTCGCAATGAGAAGAATGCGAAGATGAGTTACAAGCCGACCTGAAGCGCCAGCGTGCGCGTCATCACACTCAACATCCAAGCCAATAGCCAGCCGGCTGCAGGTGTTCAAGCCAACGATTACGAAATATTCTGCCGAATTCTTTTCCCATCTTGCTGCAGCTATAATCTGTTGAATGATATACGCTTGTTCGAGGCAAGATGGATACAGTCCATGGCTGACGCTACTGCCACCCAACAGCGACCTCAGTGCACGTAGGGTGAAAAACCCCTCCTATCCAAGCTTCCCATCCATTTGGAAAGTTTTCCCTCAGTCATAGTTCTCTTTTCAGATCGTCGGGATATTGGACTGCTGGATCCAGGGATGCAATAGTCTGCCGAAACTCACCAACCTTCCAAGCTTATCAGTATCGAACGGTGTGAAATGTGCAGACGTGAACTTGGGATATCCATGGGGTCAAACAGCTACAGGCAGTAGTTCCACCACAGTCGCAGGATTTTGCTATGCTTGCTTTTTGTTGCGAAAAGTTTTTTCTTTTTAAGCTATTGATAAGGTATAAGACTGATTATCATGATTGCCCTCAATATCCTACAGAAACGACTAAATGACTAAAGATTTCATTGATTGTTGTTTGTGCGCTTACTTGGTGAAATAAGGGAGCGTTCATTTAGGCAAGCATTCAGAGCCTTCGCGAGCGGCAGCGCTCATTTCCCCCGCCATTGGACTCGGTCGCGCGAGTTCGACGGGACCGATGCGATGGGCTTTCGGCCGTGTCCGATTCATCGATCGCGTCTAACGCGCTGGACCGAGGTGCCATAGGCTGGGAAGACCCGTGGGGCAAAAAAAAGGGCGTTCCCGAGTACATAAGTGGGAAGTCAACGATGGGAACGAGTGTTCAGAGGGGAAGAGAAGTTTGTATAAGAAAGGATGTCGTCAGCACGCACAATGCACGTACTGTGTGTTCTGGAGCAGAGAAGGATGGGTCAGCACGCGAAATGCACATATCTGTGCATGTTGCGTGCTGGTACCATCTTTCTGCCAGAAGCACACGGCTTTTTGCCTTTCTCGAGCCTGGCCTGCCTAACGTTAATTAAAAGAGCTTGATAGGCAGTTCAAAAGTTTTCATTATTGACGGCTAGCAACACTATAGCAGACGTATACAATGACAATGAAAGGGCAAATGCGAAAAGCAGTGGCAAGAGGGGCCGATACCGCAAGCCCATTAGATTGAAACTTTGCTCGATCTTCAGAAAAACAACCTTAACTCGGCGGAACTATGACGCCTGCTTTTCTTTCCATCAATTTCCATCCTGGATTTCGCAGAATAAGAAGCGCTTGCTATTCGGGATGGAACGTCAGGTACGTGAGCGCCAGGCATTGAAATGGAGCTTGTTAGCGCCAAGGAATTCTTGACTTGATGAGCTGGAAAGCCAGCGGATAGTTGCTTTTCAATTATGAAACAGTAGCTGATAAGTAATTCCCCAAAGAAAAGAATGAAAGAAAACAAAAGAGTCCCCAAGAACACCATAAACACAACCGCTCCCTAACAGTCACACCTCCCTATGGCCTTTGTGCAACCCTTGACTCACAAATCCCTTTATTACATCTCCCAGTAGTGGATGTCATCCAGTGCAAAGAAAAGAATACGAAAAAACAGCAAAAACTCGGTAGAAAAACTCTTGGAAGGCAATAGAAAAAAAGAACCTTTAACAAACACGGGCGTACGAATAATGCGGTTACGCTGAGCGAGCGGCTTTAATGCCATGTTACAAGTCGAGCTTTCGCACCACAAAAATTGTGTCTTTCGTGATTTTTACGTGCTTCACCTTGCGAAATGGGTGATTTGATTGTATATACCCCCACATGAGTAAACCGTATAATTAAAGAAAGCCCAGAATTATCAAAATGGGCACCGATTCGCGGTAAAGCAAAAAGGGACACTGCAGTACCAATTAATGCCCGGCGCCCAAATAAGAACAACTGAGTGGCCCTTCGTCGGAGGGAATCTAGCAAGTAAGGCGGTCCAACTGAGCAGACGTTAGAACTAGAACTTTGAGCGGCGTGTTAGCTCGCCTCCCCGCTCACGTGTGGAGAGTGCAAATAGAGTGGGACGTCTAGTCTCAGCTTGGGGGCTGTACTAGCTTGGCACAATGAGAGGAGCGACCGATGCACCTATTCTGAGCGCGGGGGGCTGGTCGTTTTTACACATTGAACGCCGCGGCGTTTTTGCGGCGACTCCCGTTTTTACTTCCTGCGTCTCCGCGCGCGTGAATTGCGTGCAATACACAAACGCGCGAAACGGGAGTCTTTGTGCCGCATGCCCCTTTACACGCACATTGTGGTTACTTTTGCGCTCATTTTTACATTGTTCAGTATGAATGATGACTTTTTTAGCTGCATAGATGGATCTGGACAAAGTAGAAGATCTAAACGTCACTTTCGACCACATAAATACTGTTAACATAATGAATTAAACACTATCAAATGTATTGCAAAATTGACACTAATTATCACTCTAGAGTTCAGTGCCAGTGTGCAGCGATGCCGAACTAATCATAGAAGTGCAACTTTACCCGCCGCTACTAGCTGACTGTATTTGCATAATATTAATGAATTACTCCAATGAGGGGCTTATTTCACGCCATCATTAACTAAGCATAAAAGCTCACTGAACATATACACGGTGAGAATGGTTCAAGTCGCACTCTTATCCACGAAAAAACCGATCCACAAAACGTGAATTGTGGGCAATACACAAACGCGAGAAACGGGAGTATGCGCGTGTATTGCCGACAATTCACGCGGCGTTCAATGTGTTAAGGCTCATCTGCCCTCAATCAACGAGCGTCTGAATATTCTCAAAAGCTTCTTTGCCGAGTAGCGAATAGGGCCTGGTCAGGGTCACTTATGTTTCCACCGAAGAAGCTGCCTTCGCTGGTCCTGGTTCTCGGGCCTTACTAGGCGCTCTTTGCCTCCCGACTGTATGACTAAAGCGCCTACGTTCTTAGTGACAGACCGCACCGCACTATTGTTCGCGCTCTCATTATGTTTACTCATCTGTTGTGGCATTGGTACCTATCCTATAACTCTTTCTTTAGATTCTATTTGGATTAGAACTGTGATATGCGTAGCATTGTCTCACTTTTGTTTGCCATATGCGCACTTATATCCCCAACCAAGGTGTTTGCTTCAGCCCTTCATGAGCGAATAGTCGAAGGTATGAGTAAATTATCCACGAGAGATTAGAGCAGTACCGGTAAAACCAAGTGAGGTCATTCTTGTAGTCTACGGAGCGAAAATTCTTTGACAGGACCATGGTACCATTCCTACTGCTTTCGATGAGCTACTTGAAAGGCAGTTCATTAGCTCAGTTCATGTAGATATCCAGGAACTGATGATTGACAGAATTTTTGATTTCTTTCTCTGAATTTTCCCAAGAAGGGGGAATGTAACGAAGTCAAAGATGTATATACGAAGGTAGGTTACCCACAAGGGCACATTTACGAAGAATACGTGCTGGGAACACCATAAGATTCCCTCATCCCCACTTGTTCTGAAAACTCTAGAGCTATAATAGAGCCCTCTTCACGCCCCATCTGGGATGAGACTCAAAAAGGGCACGATGACCATAATATGGTTCTTATGACAATCTCCCTAGCGGTCCACCTGTTTCCTGGGAGACGATGCCCACCACTAATGGATGCTAAATCGATTCAGTTTCATTCCTGGTTAGGACGTTTCTCAGGAGAAAGTGCACAGTTGAGCACACACAGGCGGAGCACTCATAGGACATGTAAGCACGAGGCGTGGAAAACTTGCGCCGTGCAAACCCCATTTTCGGCGTTCGCACCTCACCTGTGAGGTCACCCATTGTGCTGGGTACTCAACCGAACCGAAAACTGATGCAGCACACCGGCCACGGATTATTATGCTAATTAATGGCGGAGCCGGTGAGCCAAGCGGACAGGCAGGTGGTTCGTCATCGAAGGTCACGCACCGGCTGTTCCATATTATTAGCTCCTTTTACCCCGTTCCCGTCCATGTCCTTCCATGCTCCTCCCATCAATTTGATGTATTTTTCGATTTTTTTTTCTTGACGACACTCATCTACAGCAGTTATTAGTTTGTCATTGGACTGACGAATGACTTCAAAGTTCTATTGAGGGCTTTAAATTTTCATTACTTACTTCATCTACTTTTTATTATCACTCGAAAGCTTCCTTCTTCCTATTGAGCCGCACTTGAATCATATCAGCTTTCACAAGAAAAATATGTCAGTTTATTGCTTACCCTAGAAATAGTTTGACTCTTATGATTCCCTTTTTTTATTCAGTTGTTAAGTGTACACTATTGTTGTGTACATTTGCTTAATAAATAAATAAATAAATAAATAGGCAAGTAAACAATCTCCCTCTCTTCATTACTCACCTATTTCATTCATTGGAATAGCCCTGTTGAGTGCTAGTTTAACTCATCACGAACACAGCGCCGTCTCCATCACTCAATCTGAGACTCTCCCCATGTACTTTTTGTTCCCATTTTTCATCATCCAGCTCAGTAGTCCTCACTGAGAGAACATTAGCCTGATACGCCATACCATTGAAAGGTGAAATGAAAAAAAAAAACTCTTGTTGAGGCGACTCCAGTTTGCTGACTCCTTGAGTTCGTTGATTTCCCATCTACTGAACATAGACCCCGTGCCCAACTAATTTTTTAGACTCCTCCTCTTCCCGAGCAGTCCCGTCCACAGCTCAAAGAATGTACCAGTTTTGCGACTCCACAATGTGTAAGAGGAGTGCTCTGCGGTTTTAACTTCCCTGTATGCCAGAGAATTCCTAGGCGGGCTCATAATCCTCTGGCTCTGTAAGTAAATTGCGAGTATTGTGGCTCCTCTAACCATTGCGCTGCTTTAGCGCAGGTATCACTCACAATGCAACCTTTAAAAGCCTCATGCATTACAGTGAGCGTACTTACTCGTTCTCGTCAAATAGCTTTACTATGTATTCGGTTATGTGATACTGTCCTATAGGGTCTTCAATAGGCATGGTTCGCGATAAGGACCGTAGGTGTTGGCGGTGGAATGGGGTTTCTTGTTGCCGCGTGACTCGCTCTTGGAAAGAAAATGCCATAGGGAATGTCGGCAAACCTTTAATGAGACCCTTCAGGCTCAAGCATTGCAATGTGAAATGAAAAGAAAACCGCTTGTTGAGGCCAGTTTGCTGACTCCTCGTAATGAACACTGCGACCCTACAAGAGACAATGTGGCGTACATTTCATACTACTTGTCCTCATCGCCTTTGGAAGGCGGGAGTCACTGAAAAAGGGAAGTATCACTGGAGCAATTCTGCACCATAACCACTTCATGTTACAAAGCTTTCGCCATAACACTGGCAGCAAAGATTGCCACCAGCGAACCCCACTACCCCTCCATATACAGTCACTTCTCTGCGTTTTCTTGGTCATCGGGCACTGTGTTTTCGTGCCGATGGATTGATTCAAGATTGCAGGCTGATTTTGTGAGAGAGCATGACCGGCTCCTTT